TCGCATGAAAATTTTTTTACCGCTTCTATTCAGTAAATAAGCAGATACGTGTATCAGGTTTTCTGTAAAAAATTTGTTTTTTCAGAGATATGTTGATATAAAGTTTTTATGAATTGCGATAAAACGATGAATTCTCTTCTACATAAAACCAATTAACTCCGGTTCTACTGATCGGATCGATTTTGTTTTTTTTTGTTTTAAACCTTATTGAATAGGCTTTTCCAATAAATAAATTAAAAATTTTTTTTTTTAAGTATAGGGAGTTAATAACAGATTAATTTTTTTAAACTAGTTTTTCATGTTTGCCCCCTCTATAAAATAAAAGGAAAAAAATACTATTTTATGCGCTTTTTCTTTATCTACAAAATACATTTTTCAGAACAGTGGAGACTCTTTTGGATCGGAAGATATTAAACATTTTCGAGCGCGTGACAGGACTGTCAAGCGCGTAATATTCAAACGTATTAGTGCATGTGGCGGGTGAAGTGATATTTTGTATAAGAGTGCCATGATTCGACATCTTTTAATTGGTGACTTATTTGTGCAAATGTCAATTCTGCCAGTTAATAAATTTACTCATTAATTGATGTTTGTATTATTTAAAATTTAATTTATTTAAAATTATTGAAAACCTTTAAAATCAGAATTAATTTACAAAAAGCGCTGGTATTTTTTTAAAACGATGTATGAGTTTACACTATCCTAAATGTGTTAGCGTTTCGAAGATGTCTGATTAGGGGGTGTCCATTAATTACGTGAGTCAATTTTAGCGATTTTTTGACCCCCTCCCCCCTTGCTGAGATGTCGTGAGATTTGGCTCAACCCCCTCCCCCTAATCTCACGTGAGTAGTGATGCCGCGAGACGAGACGAGAAAAGTCCTTCTCTCGTCTCGTCTCGTGCAGCGAGAGAAAATGGGTCTCTCGTCTCGTCGAGAATACTCTTTTCTCGCTCGAGAGTGCCTTTCTCTCGTCTCGTCTCGTTTCTCTCGTGGTAAAAGTAGCTATGTATAAATACAAAAATTATTTGAAATGAAATACGAATTCGTTTATTTTTTTTTCTATAGAAATTTAAACTGGAAATAAAAAAAATGTGTGCCAAGACCACTGATAAAGTAAGACTTTTTACGCCGAAAATGTCGCGCATTTGAATCAAATGGTTGAATCTATGTAGAGTAGTTACATCTAGTATATAGGCGAAGTAGTTCCATCTATCTAAAAACTACTGCGCCTATATTATGTAACTACTTCACATAGATCCAACCATCTTGTACCTACTGCGCATGTCCGTCATTTTGAATCCGCAATTTTGTTTTTTGTTTGGATATCAAATTCTTAATCAGGGACCCCATAAATATCTAAATACTAAATTTTACCCATTTTAACCATTAAAGTCGAACGACAAATTTTCGTCATATTGGATCAGCCATTTTATTTTTTGAAGAAATGGATATCAAATTTGTAATCAGCCCCTCAAAAACCACACGTTGTTGATAAGTTTATTGAATAAGCAATGCTTATTAAGCATACGGGTTTAATAGTATAAGGAATGCCATAGATGTGCTTATACAGGGTAAATTTTAAAAATTATTATTATTTTATAAGTATTTTTGTCTTGGTTGTTTGTGTTACAAAATAATACAAAGTTAACCAGGAACAAATTTTATGAAATGCGAATAATGTTTTCATTGGTCCAAATAAATATCGTCATTAATGTGCAAAATTATAATTTTTATGTAAAAAAAAATGTTTACCTATTACCGGAATAATCGAGAGAACGAGAGAGATCGATAGAAACGAGAAATTCTCGAACGAGAGAGGTCATTCTCTCGTCTCGTCTCGAGCATTTTTTCGAGAGAAAATCGCCCTCTCGTCTCGTCGAGACGAGACGAGACGAGACGAGAGGCGAGAATCTCTCGTATCGGCGGCATCACTACACGTGAGATTTTAAAAACTGCTTATTTTTAATGTTTATACGTTAAACTGCTTGATTCTGTTGGATTTATTAAAAAAACATACTTTGTTAAAAATTACGTGATATTTGCCGAGACCCCCCTCTCCCTTACGTGAGAATTGATGAGATTTGGCTTGACCCCCTCCCTCCCCTAAACGCCTCACGTAATTAATGGATGCCCTCTTACGGCTTGTACCGGTCACGCGCTCGAAAATATTTAATATCTTCCGATCCACAAAAGTCTCCATTTTTCTGAAAAATTCATTTTGTAGAGTAATAAATAGTGCATAGAACAGTATTTTTTTAATTTTTTTTCATAGAGGGGGCAAACACAAAAAATCTGTTTATTCAAAAAAAAATATTTTTTTCATATAATAAACAAAAAAATTTTTTTTTTAATATTTATCTAAAAAGACTATGTAATATGGTTTAAAATAAAAAAAAAATGAAATCGATCCGATCAGTAGAACCGGAGATAATGAATTTTAAGTACAAAAGAATTCAGCATTTTTTCAAATTTTATCAAAAGTTTAAATCAATATATCTTTGGAAAAATAAATTTTCTGCAAAAATTCCTATATAGGGGTCGGCTAAATTTATGAAAAGATGCTGTAAAAAAAATTAAGTCATTTTAAAAATTTGATAAAATATGTTTTCTGTAATCCGTACGATATGTAAAAGAATGTCTCATGTAGTAAATCACAGAACATAGTAAATTATTGTGTAGTAAATGTAGTAGGTAAATTACGTGATTGGTATTTTGGTTGAAATCATGATTGTTAATGAGAATGTAAGATGATAAACATAATAACCTAACGTTTTACTCAAAAAAACGTGGTTTTGTGTTATTCTGTGAGCTGTCTTCTAAGTTTGATCTGTCAAACTTAGAAGTGGGCTGTGGGCTCTTGTAACTTTGCAGGTTGATATAATTTGTTGTTTTGTCAAAAGAAATGACTAAATACTAATGAACTAATACAATTTTCTTTAAATAATATTTTTACTTATACAGGGTATTTGGTTTTCTCTGGGACGATTCCAACTTTCTTATTTTTAATAAAAATATCCCTTTTATTTGCATTTTTGTGTTCCACAGACTTTTTGAGACATGCTCTGTAAATATATTTTTCTAATCATATTAAAGAATTTGTACATTTCCTATACTTTTTCAATTAAGAAAGTGGCTCAGTCTTAAACTGTGGAGAAAATTGAACTCTTTCTCCACGGTATACCGCGGTAGTATTATAATAATCCTACTAGGATTTATTATTACTATGACGATTACACGGTGGTTCATTATTTTCTTAAAAATTAATTGACACTGACTTTTGTAGAAACTTTCCACACGCATGTAAAAAAAGATATAGATATAGCATATTTTTCGATATTTTTTTTTCAAAAAATATTCTAAATTAGCTAACTAGATAGAATTAGATAACTTTCAATCTTTAAAATGCTCTGTAAAATTGTTAAATTAAAGATACGCTACCATACGATTATTGGGACGATATGTGATGACAGCAACAATAATAATAATTATATTATCCAAAGACGAAAGTAAACATCTGATTACATTTTAGGACGGAAAGTAAACAGCTGTCCTAGTACAAAAATGTGACGTTTTCAAAATATTAAAGTTAGTTTTTTACATACAATTTGGCCCTTTATATTTTAATAAGGCAAAAAGTTTAAACAAATTTAAATTATAAATATTCTTCACTCCTAAATTAATTATTAATTATTAATATTGATAAAAAACTAAAATTGGAAAGTTTAAACCGTTTCGCCTTATTCTAAGACGTAGTTAAATAAAGATTTAAAAATCCTTTAAAATAATCCCTTTTTTATTTATGGTTTTGGTAAAAACGCCTCCTTAGATTAAGAGCACTTTTTTAATTACAATTTAAAAAAAGCTTTGGCCCGTCAATATTTTTATTTTAGATACATTTTTTGACGTTTTACTTTCAAAATTTATACATATTATATTATAAACAATTTATATTAGGTATACCAATATTAGAGCGGCAAATTTTATTACCCACCCTGACTGAGAAAACGTTAGAAACGGTCCTTCGAATATCTAAGCCTTATTTGGAAATATTAATTAATTTCTTAGCTAAATCTAATAAAATATTTAATACCAAAAATATCAATAAGGAACCTTATTGTCTACAATTATCATAATTGAATTATGCTATTATGCTATTAAAAATTAAAAATGTCAGTGGCACACATTTTGTATGTTAATTTAACATATCAAAAATTAATCCCGTAGGCTAGAATTTTTTCTGCACATCCTTTAAAGCTAAAAAATTGAATTTATCCATACTACCTTAAACTATTGAATGACAACAAATTATACATAAAAAATTTATCATTTAATTTTTAAAGAACTTATATTATGCCTTTTATTTGTGAGCGTCGATATATATGCGCTAAAAACAAGTCACAACGCACGACGAAATTATTGGGTATTATGATTTTAAATATTTATTTTAATAAATTTAATATTCAAATCCTAGTACAAAAGACAATCAATGATGCGTCGACAAGATCTGGCAACATAGGTGACGCAGAAAAGACGGGGGAGTTGAAAAAAATATTCACTTCTGTTGCAGCAATGATGGTTTAACAAATTCGATATACATCGACGCAGAAATGATAGCAAAATAAAAAGAAGCAGCAATGATAGTAACATGAATTTTTAGTTTATAAACATTTAACGTAAAATTCGGTCAATATTTTGTCTAATTAACACTTCTACAATGTTAAATCACGATATACTGCAGTATTTCTGGTAGACGCTATAATGACGGTACTTTGAAATGATGCAGCATTGTAAGCGGGATGTATATATATATATATATATATATATATATATGATATATATATATATATATATATATATATATATATATATATATATATATAAATATGAAACGACGCTTAATATGGCGCTTCAATATAACCCCTTAAGCCTAATATTTGAATCCTTGTTAAGAACAAATGATTTTAGCGAAATTGTTAAAATATTGTATTTTTTTATTTTTAGGTACACTTTTATTGGTATTGCAAATATCATTTGTGGACACAATACTGTTTTATGTTGCAATATTAGAAATATATACAATTCAAAAACGGTCATGGATATTTTCTGCAGAAAACTGCCAATTTTTTAGTGGAATGGAAATTGTTATGAACACCTTAATAGTATATTTATTATTATGCCTTAATTGTCACATAATATCGCTATGGAATTTAAACAAATTTGAAGTAAACAAAGAAAACAACCCATTGACATCTTGCAGAGATGATTCTGACGAATGTTTGGTAACGAAAAACGAAAATAAATCAAATACCGCCTACAGAACACGGAATATTGAAGTGTCGGTGGTGTTTCCATCGATTTTCATATGGTTCGTAAGTGTATCCCTTAGTATACCAAGTTTTACTCTATCCTCGATATTGAATGTCGATGAAAAATATAATATGTGTGGCATAGAAGACGGTTTTTATGGAGAAATTATGCAGAAGTTATTATTGGTTTTTAAAATTGTGATACCATTTTCACTTCTTATGTTTTCTCTAGTGGTTCTTGTAGTTATAATATTTAAAACCACAAGGAATCGCATTAATAATTCTTTGACAAAAAAATTTACAGAAATAAGGATATTATTAATATTTTCAGTTTTAATAACTCTATGTTTTTTTCTTACATCCACCCAAAGAAATGTTTTGTTTGTTTACCATTATTTTAACTTACCTTTTCAAAATACTGATGTAAATTTTATAGCGTCTCCATTTTTTGCCAATACACAAAACTCAAAAATGAGTTTATATTTTTCTATGTTATACTATACTGGAAGCTCAGTCAGAGGTTGTTTGTATTTTTATGTGCTGCCAAAGTTTAGGCATTTGCTTACAAATAAAGTGATGTGTTTTGATATTAATAAATAAGTTGTAATATTTTTTCTTGTTTTACTAAACAAATATAATTTTTTTTTATTAATAATGTCCGTACTTGCCTTTTATAGTTTTATACTTTTTTCGTAAAAACATTTTTCTACAACCAAGCGAAAAGTACAAATTTGCGCTTATAAAAAAAAAGCGAAAAGTTGCACTTTTCCGAGGAGCGAGCGTTTTTTTTACTTTGTCGCTTATTTGCGACTTTTGACATAACCGTCAAATTTGAGGTTATCAAAAATTATTAATTTTTATCAAACATTCTTATAGAAAAAAATCATGTTTGTAATTCGAGCGCAAAGGGACATAGCCGCTCTCGCGAGATAGCCGCGCTCCGCTACGCGTCGCGCGTCAAACTTCTCGCTCAGGGCGGCAATGCATCACTTTGCGCTCTTAATACACAAATAGCTATTTAACAATCATAAAGAATTAAAATTAAACAATAAACAATTGCAAGTTGAACTATGGTGCAAGTAGGTACATTTACTAAAAGGCATACTTATCGTAGATGCAAAGTTCTTAAAAATACTTTTTACAAGAAATGTAGTATTTTGTACAAAAATCGGTTAAATACTTTCGTTTAAAGATTTTTCGAGGTGCTGCGAGTCTGTGAGTGCGCCCCTTGAGGTTTGCACCCCTGGCAGCCGCCCCTGAGACCAGCCTCGCTACGACTCTGTGTACCAAAAATTTAAAATGCAAGTAGGTGCAAAGTTCTTTATTTAAAACGCTTTGAAGCATAATTTTTAAAAATTACCTTGTAATTTGGAGACTGGTACTTAAGTACTAAACAGACTCTAAACTAACTTTTATTAATATTTCTAATAAGTAATTTAAACACTCCTAAATCTTCCTAAATCAGCTTTTCTTAAAGTCTGTTTCGCGAAGTCCCAGAGCTCCTGACAATATAAAAATGAATGAAATGAAATTTCTACACGCTGCAGTGTGTTAAAAAACCTTTAAATGTAATTAATCTATTTTGAAATTTTGATAAAAAAGGTAGGTACAAGGTTCAAGTCGCTGCAGCGCGCTGTTAAAAAAAGGGCCAACTTAAAACTCACCCTGTACATTACAATAAAATATATTAAGCATTATTCTATTATAATTAGGTATATTAGCTGTTTTAGCTGAGCCAATCTTGAACTAGTTCAAAACACTAAGGGACAAGTTAATTGCGTATGACCTTTTGGATATAATTTAGGAACGCATAAATTGGGATTAATTGACTTAAAACTATCACGCTCAATTAAAGAACATGCAAAATAAAATATTATAATATTAATGTAATAAGATAATATTATAATAATATAAAATATGCATGCGTACGATTTAATATCCCCCCAAATAGCAATCGTGCGTCGCATGTAGGTCGCACGGCGTGAGAACGCACACGTGTGGTCGATTTCACACGCATATGAGTAGCATAGCTGTGCGCGCCCACGCGATGAGCGCAAGACGTGATCAATGATCTCTTACACTGTGCTCATCACAGCAGTGATGCTAGATTCTATCAAAAAAACAGTAGATTTCGTTTTTATTCACCTTATAATTACAATCAATAATAATGACGTAACGTAAAATTGCAATTTGCATTGTTTCACTAGGTAAGTTCAATTAAAATGACATGCATCAACTGTTTTATTTATATATGTAAATTATAATTTATTATATTACATTTAAATTCAAATTTTAAAATTCGCGCGTAACCGGTCAACGCGATAATTAAACAAAAACATATCCTTATTACATTGCTGCAATCGGGTTGTGTTTGTATTGTATTTATTTTTCTATTGTGTTGTTTCCACGTGTTATTATAGTTAGTTATAAATTGATAAAAGTTATTAAGGATTTCAGGTAAGTGTGAAAAGATTTCACAATAATTTAAATTATGAACCTGTGCATTTTTATTTACCTCAAGATTTTTATTTGCTTTAGGAATTTGTAATTTTACTTTTGTGATTATTTAGTTTAGTATTTTTAAAATCACTTGATTAATTGATCATCTGCTTTTTTATTTACATTAAGATTTTTTTATTTTACGCTTGTGATATTTATTTACTTTTTTAAAGTGATTTTGATTAAAATTTGCATTTTTATTTACTTTTTCCCTTTACTTGTATATATATGTATATATATATATATTTATATATTTATATATATATAATATATATGTATTGGTGGTTTTCCGGGATCTGCTAGGTGTTGGCGGTTTTTGGTTCTTAGAAGAACCGTATGTCTGACGACGTTTCGGTGCAATCTTATCTACCGTGGTACAGCCATGCAGTTATTTTAAGAACCAAAAACCGACAACACGGAGCAGATCCCGGAAAACCACCAATACATATAACGCCTGTGGAAACCTAAAACAGAATATATATATCGACGGGTTTAAGGCAAAACGGCACAAACGCCAAAATTTTTAAAAATTTGTTACTGGTCGATAGAGCTCTAGCTAGATAATTTAATTCTCTATCAACCTGTACTTCTAACAATTTTTCGAAAAATTTGGCGCTTATGCCATTTAGCTTTAAACCCGTCGTTATATATGCATTTCCTTTTGAAATATACAACTTTTTTGACTCAATCATGTGCGCTGGAAATACGTCGGCACACGTGCGCTTTAAATACGCCGGCACACGTGCGCTGCATATGAGACGCATATGTAAGTGCATCTGTGTAGTGATCTGCGCGCACGCGTGCCGTTTAAAGACGCACTCGTGCACTCACTGTGCGCGCATCGTGACTACATTTTGCTATCTGGGCCTGCTTATGTCCTAAAATCTATCGGACGTGTTCCGAAAGTATCCTAAATATCTTCAATCGGAAACGCTGTTTCTTTTGTTCGAAACTAATAATTTTATCACCGCGAACGCCAATTTTAAAGGACGTTCGAACTAGTTCGTGATTAGCACGGCTATCATTAACTATTAACATTAATTGTATATATTAATATAATTCCCTATATATTTTATAACATCTCTATTATTATTGCTTTAATTTATTTTGTCTTAACAATAGCATAAACACTAATCTTGAAACTTTTTCATAAGTCATGAACATAAGAGCAGCAGCCAATACTGTTTGCAACAATTTCGTCTCTAGACCTTGATACAAAGCTCCAGGGCCATCTTTTTTCAAAATTGACAATAACAAAGATAATGTATAAATATTTTGCTGTTTATTCAACCTCTGTCTTGTTTGCGCTAACTGCAAAGGGTAAGTTAAAACTGTGGCCACAGATTTTGATAAAGCGCCCAATAAGAAAAATGAATATGCAGATTTTAAGGTAACTTTTCGTTTAAAAGCCTCATAGACTGTAAAATGAATGGCTGGATTAATAACTAAGACTAAAGATGCACCAACACCTGACCATAAGGATCCGAAACCTTCGTTGCAGCCAATATGCACTAAACCATCAAGCAGACCAGAGTAGTTTTCTTTGTTATTGACTTTTAGTCTGCTATTTACAACCCATAAAGGTGTGGTTAACAGAACATTAATAATACCTGAAGCTATGCTAAATGCTAAGTCGGTTTTTGAGGTAATTTGGTAGTTTTTTGGCATTAGTGATTTGAATCCATGAAACGAGTAGAAGTAAATAAAGTTTGATACTCCCATAGATGTCAACACTGGTTTTAAACCTCTGTACCATGATTCTCTAAAAAAAAATATTAAATAAAAATCTTTATTGAGATTAAACAACATACAGCCCCTCTGTTTTAAGCAAATATAATAAGGCTTCTATGGTGGGTTTTTCAATTAAAGCTGGCTCATTGGCTAAAATAATTATAATAAAATTACAATAATAATAAAAAAAATCTTTTACCTTGTAATCGAAATTTTAAATTATCCAATGGATAAATACACGCGGAAGCAATCACACTACCCTAAAACAAAATGTTATTATTGGTGTGCGATATTTAGTTGACCTTAGACGAATAGCGCTTAAATGTAATTATATATAATTACATTATAATGTAATTGTGGATACATTGGTTACATTAAACAGTTGTCAAGTTTAGTCTAGTTGAGTTGTCAATATTCGCGAAGTTAAAAATGCAATTAATTTGGCTTTGGTGGTGCGTAGATGAGTAAAATCATATAAAAAGTAGTTAAATATAGGTGACTACGGCCCAGGAGAGACAAAGTATCTGCTTAGCTGAAAATAATGTGTGATTTAATATTTGTAAAACTAAAACGTTACTTTTTTACTCCAAAAATAATAAATTTTATAACCAGTTTAGTTTGTTTTAATCAATGCAACCAATTTTGGTTCCGTATTTACCAACCAAAACCTTAAATTTGCAACGTAGCCGCAGTCCAGATAAAAAAAATTAACTTTATTCTATCAGCGCTGTCATCAACTTTAACGTTAATTTACCATAACCCACAAATTTAAATTTGACAGTTTGATGACAGCCGTGATAGAATAAGGTTTATTTTTTACAAAAGAGGAGTAAGATGGTTGTTCTTAGCACTTTAAGGCCTTATTTAAGGCTTACAAGTGCCTCTGTAAGGAAAACAACGTTTAAAACGATTTTTAATCTGTATAAACAGCACAAACCCAAAGCACAATAATTGTAAACAACAAAAAATGGCCGCCATTAGATTCTCTGCAGTGTTGCAGTGATTTTTAGTATGCGCGAAACGAGAAAGAACCTTGTTGTGTGGATTGTGGTTTAATAGAGCTCTAGTCAGCATACTTATCTAGTGAAAGCACTGCTTTCAAAGCAGTTAAATGTTGTGAATCTAAAATTGGTTCTAACCAGTGGCGGCTGGTGGATTTTGGGCACACCCATATCTCAGTTATTAGACATGGGACCCACATCAAATTTATATGAGTTTATAATGACATTATATAGACAAGTTCTGCGCAAGCAGAATTTAAATTAAAGTTTGCGAAAAAAAGTTAGTTTTTAAGTGCAACCCCCAGCCTCCTGCCCCTCCAAATTAAGATAATTCAAATTAAAGTGGTACAATATTTAATTCACTGAAGTTTATCAACAAATTTCAAATTTTATTAAAAAAATTCAAGAATTACAGGTTTTATACCATTTATAATTTTTATTACTAAATTTAAAAAAATTTGAAATGGTATAAAACCTGTAATTCTTGAATTTTTTTAATAAAATTTGAAATTTGTCAATAAACTTCAGTAAATTAAATATTGTACCACTTTAATTTAAATTAACTTAATTTGGAGGGGCAGGAGGCTGGGGGTTGCACTTAAAAACTAACTTTTTTTCGCAAACTTTAATTTAAATTCTGCTTGCGCAGAACTTGTCTATATAATGTCACTATAAACTCATATAAATTTGATGTGGGTCCCATGGGACATGCATGTCTAATAACCGAGATATGGGTCTGCCAAAATCCACCAGCCGCCACTGGTTCTAACCATTTAAACTTTTTCATATCTCTCATATACAGAGTGTCCCAAAAGTCAACGATATCCTTTGAAGAACTAATAGGCCAACTCATGACTAATCAGAATATCAAAACATGAACTGGGTAAAAAATCGTTAGTTTGTGAGATATTGACATTTTTATGAATTTTGTGAAACTTCACAATTTAGATCAGTTTTTCGAGTGCCACAGCTATAAATTCCATATTCTTCAAGATTTAGTACCTAGTTCTTTGTAAACCTCTTGAAAACCAAATATTTTTGGTTTAATATTTGAATTTATAATTATTGAAATAATTTCACAATGAGCTCGTTTTGCAGTAAAACAACAATATCTTTTTCTTTAAAGTAAAATATAGCAAATGTTGTACCATTTTAAAAACTTAACCAAACTAGCATTTTTTAAAAATATCTTGCCAAGTTCGCGTGGAATTTTTTTTACAGTCTGAACGGTCAAAGTTAGCTAACAAAAATCTTATTAATTTATTTTTTAATTATACATGTATAAAGTTATAATTTTAAGATGGTATATCATCTCATTTCTATTCATATTTCTTTTTAGGGTAGGCTGACTAAACATTTTCAGAAAAATATGGAGTTAACTAAATGAAAATAATTCTTAAAAGTAGTATTTCTACTAAAAGTAATGTCTTAAAAAGGAAAATAAAGTCCCAACGCGAAATATGTACCTACTTATAAGATTGGATTTTTATTTCAGTTCTGGTAAAAACAATGTCGGCATTAATCTCTATTTTATTTCCTATAAAAATATGGAAAACAATAATTTATGCTACTTAATTGCAATATGTTTTCCTGATTTTTTTAAAAACATTTGGGTTAGATTGCTCCAATTGATGGAAATAATTGTGTTAGTGATTTTTAGAAATAAAATAAAAAGTAATGCCAAAATTATGTTAAAGCATTGAGTAAAGAAGTGGGTCTTTACTCAATGGTTCAAGTAGTTACTAGAAGTCTAAAATGAAAATCCAACCTATTAATGCATTTTTTCGCGTTGGGGCTTTATTTTATTTTCTTTTAAGATTTATTTTCGTTTATTTATACCATGGTGCAGCTCCATTTGAAATAAAATTAAACTTAAACATGTCTAAAAGACTGTATTAATCACGTTTAGAGGTGGGAAGTTCGATTCTTTTTGGTGAATCAATTCTTTTAATTCATTCTTTTAAAATGATTCGTTCATAAAGATTCGTTCGCGACTGATTCACTTCCCTGTTCTAAATGACCGATTAATTCCTGTAGAAACCAATTGAAGTATTGGTTGTTATCAATGGGAATTGGACTTACTGGATTTAATTGGGCGGGATATAAAACAGAAATTGGTTTTTACTGGTATTTTCCATGATGGAAAAGTCCAATTAGGATTCTAATGGTTTTTATTGGTTTCGATTGGATAAAGCTACCTATAGGTAATTTCCAATTGAATTCAATTGGGCATTCCCAGTGTAAGATTCGAAAAATCTGATAATTGGTTATTCCCAATACAATACAAATATCGCAAGAGGGCTGCAGTTTTAGTGATTTTTTACACTTTTCAAAGCTTTCAAACATACGAATTTTTGAATTAAAAAAAATAATCGTGGTATAGATTCTTTGGGAAATTTTATGCTCTACAAGAATCCGCGACGTAAAAAATTTTATCTCAAACGGTTCAAAAGTTATAGTCTTTTTAACAGTGGCGGCTGGTGGATTTTGGCACACCCATATCTCAGTTATTAGACATGGGACCCACATCAAATTTATATGAGTTTATAATGACATTATATAGACAAGTTCTGCGCAAGCAGAATTTAAATTAAAGTTTGCGAAAAAAAGTTAGTTTTTAAGTGCAACCCCCAGCCTCCTGCCCCTCCAAATTAAGATAATTTAAATTAAAGTGGTACAATATTTAATTCACTGAAGTTTATCGACAAATTTCAATTTTTTTTTTAAATTCAAGTATTACAGATTTTATACCATTTCAAATTTTTTTAAATTTAGTAAAAGAAATAATAAAAATTATAAATGGTATAAAACCTGTAATTCTTGAATTTTTTTAATAAAATTTGAAATTTGTCGATAAATTTCAGTGAATTAAATATTGTACCACTTTAATTTGAATTATCTTAATTTGGAGGGGCAGGAGGCTGGGGGTTGCACTTAAAAACTAACTTTTTTTCGCAAACTTTAATTTAAATTCTGCTCGCGCAGAACTTGTCTATACAATGTCATTATAAACTCATATAAGTTTGATGTGGGTCCCATGTCTAATAACTGAGATATGGGTGTGCCCAAAATCCACCAGCCGCCACTGCTTTTTAATGAAAAAAGATTTTTTTACGTGTTATTTCAATGAAAAACTTAGAATGCTCACCGACACCTTTTAAAATTGAGCAAAAAATTTTGCCTTGCAGGGAAATTTCTTGCTCGGTATGTAGGTTCATTTTAACCCATAAATCCGATAGGTTAGTTTTTTTGGCTCACCCTACTGTATATACAGGGTATCTCACCAGCGATGGTACCTTAGACGTTTAAGGAGAACGGCTGAGGATATTAATTTGAAATTTTTATAGCAATTATTGTACAATTTAATCTACCTTTTAAAATTATTTTAAATAAAATTCCTCTTCCGGTTTAACCGGAAGCGACATCAACTTTGTTATTTCCAATGGAACACCCTGTAATTTTTTTTATTTTTAAATTCCTTATGAAATTCTTAATAAAATTGCTGTACCATTCCCTATACCTAAACTTAATAGTTTTCGATTACAAAATCCGACTTTTCTGGTTCAGGATCTTATTGTCCCTCGACCGCCGTTTTTTTTAAACGTTGTCCCTCTGATTGATGAAAATAAACTTAATTTATTCCAATAACGTACATTATGTACGAATTCGTAGCCTGTCATGTCGTTTTTCATGTTCTGACTATAATTAAATTATAAAATGATCTACATAATACCTTACCTTCAATTGGGATTTTACAGCAAACATTTCGGGAATAGTTAGTCTTGAAGTACTTGCTCCTGCTTGTTTTTTGTTTGATATTTGTTCATCTGGAAATAATTCAAAATATTTTTTGGATGTTACAGCGTAGTTGTTTTCTTATTCCGGTAGTATTGCCCCGTGCCATTTTAATTTCCTTCGAATTTACACAAATTTTGCACCTGTATAATTTATCTCGATTTGTCCCTTTCAATTCAATGTTAAAATAAGTATCGAATTTGCTTTTGAAAATAAACAAGTTATTAATGTTTGAAGTTAACCAAATTTACCACGATTTTTCTCTAGTTTTTGATAATAAATATGAAAATTTCAGACATGGAATCTTTAAAACAATGTTTTAAGATTCCAAAAATCCTTACAGCATACCAGCAAACCGAGTATCAAAAAAGTTATAAGCAATTTTTAATGAAGGTGCAACTGTCAAAATTTTACGAAAAAAATTAATAACTCGAAAACTATTAAGTTTAGGTATAGGGAATGGT